GCACTTGGTCCTAGTCCAGAGATGGCAGAGGCCAGGTAAGCATGCTGTGGCGGACCTCTCCCACACCTGGGGCACCCCTGGCTACGTGCTCATGCATCCTTTCTTGCAGAGTCCTCCTGCAGGCTCAGAATCCTTCTCAACACAGAGCCCTAGGCAGCCACCACCAAGTGGAGTTGGCATTTAGGATGAAATCGGCTTGACTACCCGATCGAATTCAGCCCCCTCATGTTACGGATGAGGATACTGGCTCAAGGCCACACGGGGAGTGGCCAGAATGGGGACTTCCCACAGGCTTAGCGGCCCCACTGGCTGTGCTTAGAACTGAGGGTCTTCTCGAGACAGTTTGGGCTTGATTTGGGGGCTGCTTATCTCTTCCTAGAACAGAGAGGTTTTGGTTGAAGAGGGTGGCGGGGCTGGAGGCTGGAGGCTCCCTTCGCCAAGTTGCCTGGGGTTCTCTTTGAGGGTGGGGACAGGGGGAGTTACACTCCCTGGTCCTCCTCTTCTTTGGAAGGAAATCCAGATGAGCTGGAATATGTCTCAGTCCAGTGTTGCCAGTCCCAGATTGGTATGACCAGTTCAGCCCAAGATGTGGCCCTGGGGCAGGTGGGAGGGCAGGTGTGAGGGACAGATGAAGAAGGAGGTGGCAGGTCTGTGGCTAATACCCAGCGTTCCTTCCTGCTCATGGTTTAAGAACACGAGTCACCGAGGGGCTGGCTCAGGGCTCCGGGGCAAGGAGTACAGTGGGATGGGAGAAAAGGTCACCTGCCCTGACTGTGGGGCACGAGGGGAAGGGGAGGGGTTCCTGCAGCCCAAGCAGCTCCTGCAAGACAGGATACCCCGGGGCCCCGGAGATCAGGCCGGCAGGAGCTGACTTTGTGGCGGGTTCTGAGACCTCCCCGATATGTAAACTGCCGATCCCAGCATAACCACAGCTATGCCCAAACCGCCTGCAGCCGCAGCACCTGCTGCAGCTAAATCCTCTGTGCAGTGTTTCCCAGAAGCTGTCTTAGTCACTTGGGGGCTCATTAAAAAGCCAGATTGTCAGACATGAGAGGAGCCCAGAATCTGCACGTGCAAGAAGCCTGTTAGAGAATTCCGATGCTGGCTGAAGCCATTCCTCCAAACAGTCCACTAGGAAGCCTGGCACATAGTAAGTGTTCAATAAATGTTGGTGGACAGACTGGCTCACCTAGTGCACGAAGCCCGCTGCTGCCGGGCCTTCATCTACAACTGCAATGGCTCTCAGCTAGTTGGTTGTGTGAGATGGTGGGGCTCTCTGAGGGCCAGCTGGGGCTACACTGGGAATGAGGAAGGCTCCCGGGGAGCCCAGGCCAAAGTTACAGATGCTGTACATGCCGTTCCTGAGCTGGGGACCAGAGGGCCAGGGTCCAATCTGCCTGAAGCCAGCTCATTATCCATTACTGAGGAGCAGGTGGACTTTTCCTGCACTGTGGGCTGGGGTTTAAGACATGTATGGTGCCCAGCCGGTGTGGCTCAGTGGTTGAGCGTTGACCCATGCACCAAGAGGTCGCCAGTTCGATTCCCAGTCAGGGCACATGCCCAGGTTGTGGGCTCCATCCCCAGTAGGGGGCACGCAGGAGGCGGCCAATCGATATTCTCTGTCATGGATGTTTCTATCTCTCTCCCCCTCTCCCTTCCTCTCTCTCTCTTTAAAATCAATTAAAAAGAAAAAAGACATGCATGGTTTCAGAGACCAGGTTGAGTGGGTGGGGTCTGGGAGTGATTGGGCTGCGCTGGATTCCCAGGCCTTGACCCTGACATCCAGTCATTCACTCACTCATTTATTCATGTGTTTATTCATTCACTCACTCATTTATTCATGTGTTTATTCATTTACTCACCCCTTTCTTGCCTCCTGCATACACCAAACCTACTTTATTGAGCCCCACCCTCTGTGGATCACCTACTCCCCAGGAAAATAGAGGGGCCATGAGCGCACCCCCTTGTCCTCGAGGGCCACACAGTCTAGCAGCGTGAGCAGCAGCTCGGCTGAGGGGATGAAGGCAGCCAAGCTTGGTTTGAATCACTGTGCCTCTTACTAGCCACAGAAGCTCACTAGGAAGCTTGACTCTGCGGTTCTAACACAATTCCTGCAAGTCCTCTGACTGCTGGTATCATAATTATTAAGAGAGGAGAGGAACATGCAAGCGACTAACCAGACTGAGGCGGGCGTTATGCTAAGGGTCTGTTGAAGTGCCAACCCCTGCCTGGGTTGGTGGGGTGTGGCTGAGGGCACGGTTCACAGCAGAGAGAATTGGGCTTTGATCTGAAGAACAAAGAGGTGATCACCAGGCAAACAGCAGCGAAAGACATCCCAGGCATAGGAACCTGCATGGGCGAGGCATGGAGGTGGGAACCTGGGGTTCTTCACGAGGGCGAGAGTGTGGAGTTGGGGAGATCTCCTGGAGTTGGGGAGATCAGGTTGGGCAGGGAGGAGAGCCTTCCAGCATCTCCCTGAGAGGCTGAGCTCAGTCTGAAGGCCGTGGTGAGCCGTGCATTAAGGCATGCTTTCTCAACACCTGTCAGCATTTTGGGGCTGGATCATTTGTTTTGGGGGTGGTCCTGTGCATTGTAGGATATTTAGCAGCATCTCTAGTCTCTACACACGAGTAGCACCAGTAGCCCCTGAAAATTTAACAACCCAAAACATCTCCAGACATTGCCAAATGTCCATCGGGGCAGGGGACAAAATCACCCCTTGGTTGAGAAGTACTAGACTGGGGAGAATGGGGTGGCTGCCTTATGCTTTTGAGAGCTGGCCCTGATCACACCGTGAAAGACAGAGAGAGCCCGAGGCCAGGACCAGGTGGGAGGCCACTGCAGCATCTCAGGTGAGAAGTGGCCAAGGCCAAAGCCAGGGCTGGGGCTGGGGGGCAGGACGAGAGGGGCCAGGTGATCCAGCCTGGGGCAGCATGTTAAAGGGACTCCCCATGCTGTCGCTGAGTTTTTCCAGATTCCCCAGAGGCAGGTACAATGCGGTGGATACCAAGATCTTAAAGAAAGAGTCCTGGGCCAACTGTGCAGGTCATGCTAACAGACTCAGTGTCCAATGGTTCACCCAGAATTTGCCATTGTCCACCCCCAGCCTGAACAAGATGTCAGGTTTGGAGAAGCCAAGAGAAACGATTTGGGGGAAGGAGTCACCATTGTGCTGAGTGCCCTCTTAGGGAAGGGTGTGTGTGTGCTTCTCTTTACTGGGCTGAGCAGGAGGAGCTACAAGGGACCACCTGATGATCACAGGAGTTCAGGGACCATGAGACTGATGTGAGGTTCTTGTCTGCTTTGTGTACTACTGAGAGCACAGCCCCTGGGGCTGGCACACAGCAGGTGCTCCATGCAGGTTTCTGACACGAGTTCGAGCCTTTGGCTGCAGGGGTCGGAGGTGGCAGAGCTGGAGTGGGGCAGGATGTGCAGGTATGAGCCGAGTTGCTGATGGAGGGGATGAGTCAGTGAGACCCAATGGGTTTGGGGTGTGTAGCGGACATCCATGGAGAACCACCTGCCCCTGCTTCCAGCAGGTGATACCCACTCCTGGCCTTTGGCTCTCTTATGAACTGGGGAGTCCTGAAGACTGTTTCCAGGTGAGACTTGTAAGGGCCGGAGAAGTCGTCACATGAGTTTTAGAGGCTGACGCTGAGGAGCTCAGGTTGTGGACTGCGCTGGCCACACCCTCAGCGTGGCCCATCTCTCACAAACATGTGGATACCAGGTGATTTCCCAGCATCCAGGTCAGGAGGGGTTTTCCAGCTCCCAAGAGCCACTTCCCAGTTCCGAAGCACCTAGAAGCACCACCCTTGCAGGCTCCATCACAGGAGCTGGTGGCCCAGAGCAGGGGTCCCTGTACCTCTTGGGGCACCCTGCAGTGAGGGAACAAGGGAACAGAATCATCTCCTGCCACCCTGTCCACCCCACCCCTCAAAAATGTCCTGTGTGCTGGGGACAGGGACTCCAGGGCTGGGGGAGTATGTTCTGGTCACACAGGGCTGGCCCTGGCATCAGGGTTGGCATTCAAAGTGAAGGGGGTGCAGATGGCAGCTAGTGCAGGTGCTCAGTCGTGGTGTAAACTTCAGGGGAGCCAGCCCTAATGGCCCTTGGCCTGGGCCAGCCCCACGGTGGGCCCCTACAACCTCCTGGAAGGCTTCTGCCCCAGTCTCACTGTGCTTGTCAGCCACCTGGACAGGGGACTCAAAGAGGAAGCAGGCAGGGTCTGGCCCCCTGGGAAGGGGTTGAAGAGTATCCAAGGATAGGTGAACACATGAGTAATAGCAATAACAGCTAATATGTGTACAGAGCTTATTAAGTTACACATATACTTTGTAAGTCTACGTATATGTATAGTGCATACTATATTATGTGTATTATGCATCTTTTAATCTTCGTAAGAATGCTGTGAGGTTAATGCAGAGATTCACACCCAGGTGGTGTAGCTCTAGAATCCAAATGAGTGAGTGATCTGGAACAGCCATGGACCCCCAAAGATGATTTTTCAAATTAGTCCCCCCCCCCCCCCGGGAGTGGGGAGCCTGCAGGGGAGGAAGAGTAGGTGGGCACAGGGCAGGTAGAGAGGCACAGGCTGGAGGCAGCCACCAATTTGGTGGGAGCCTGTCCCCGATGAAGGTCTCCTGCTCCCACACTGGGAGGGGATATTAGAGGGAGGTTGAGGGGTCACCAAGGGCTGGGAGGTATCCATGAAGAGCCCCGTCGGCAGGGGTGACCAGTCTCGGCCCAGCGAGGGTTAGGGTCCTGGTGGGGGTGCCTGCAGGCGGTGTGGGTGTGGGGGAGCGTGGGAGGTGGGAGGAAGGGGGAGAGAGGAGGAACGGGGAGGGGCTTGTTATGCCCCGCCCCGCCCCGCCCCGCCCCGCCCCTGCCTGTCTCTACCTCCCGAGCGGGTCTTTCGCTTTCAATTGGAGGCGTGGGAGCGCAGCGGAGCGGGGAAGGCGCGAGGAGCGCGCAGAGCCGGCGGGACCGTCCTGCTCTCGGCCGCCGCACGCGTCCCATGGCTCCCGCAGCCTTCTCGGCCGCGCTGGCCGTCGGCCTGCAGCTCTGGGCCGCGGGCCACGTCGTGCTCGCTCAGGTAGGTGCCAACAGCGGCCCAGGGGGAGCGCCCGCCCCTCGCGCCCACCCCTCGCGCCCACCCCGGGGAGTCCCGGCCCCGCGCTCCCCGGCGGCGCCAAGACAGGGGTGCGCGCCCCACGGAGTCAGACACTTGGGCGGGTCGGGGACGCAGCCCGGGCCCTCCGCCTTACAGGCCAGGGCGTTCGGAGATCCCAGCTTCCTTACCCCTGCGACGGCCGCGACCAAGCCTTCCTTCCCGTCTGGGGAAGGAGAGGTCTGTACTGGGGTGCTGCCCCGCCTGCGATGCCAGGAACCCTCTTCCGATGCCCGGCACTCTCCTCCGATGACTTCCCCGGTCTCTGGGTCATGGCTTGACTCCTTCTTAGAAACCCAAAGGCGGCGCGTCTGAAAGAGCAGGGCCCGTGTACAGTCAGCGCCTAATAAGGGCCCTCGGACTGTGGGCTGCTTTACATGCCCAGGCCCCTTCCCCAGCAGCCCCCTGTGTGTCCAGCGGCCATTTGAGAGTCTCTTGTCTGTGGGCCACAGGAGGGTCATGGGGGGGACAAGTGTCTCAGGTTGCCCTGGGCCGACCCCCTAAGGGCCTGAGCTTGAGCTCTGGGGGCAGAGGAGGTGGGGGAGGACTTAGGGTGCTTATCAAGGTGGACTGGCCGCGAAGGGGCTCCAGGAAAATGGAGAAGCAGAAACCCCAGAGGTGCTATTCTAACTGCACCCACCATGCTAGCAGGGCAGAGGGATGTCTTGTCCTCTGCCTTTTTTGGCTGTCTCCATGGTCTGCTAAGCGAGAGGGACCCCGTTTTACAGAGAAGGAAAACTGAGGGTCAGAGAGCTGCTTGCAGTTCATGGAAGGGCATGGGGGATGGTCTTCCTCCAAAGGCTCATCTCTTCCGTTCCCCCGTGGCTGGGGGGGGGGGCAGCCTTCACCCCTGCTCACCATCCTACCCTGATGGACACGTGTATGTGCTGAACCAGCTGGACACCTTGACCAAGAAGGACGGTGGGGGAGAAGGCTTCGGCTTGCGGGGTAATGTGTGGTGACTCACTGGCTAAGGCTCAGGGCATCTTTAGAGTCCAGTTCTTAGAGGCAGAAAATGGCTGAATTGACTCACACTGTGGGTCCTGGGGGGCTGCCCCAAAGGTTGTCCTGGAAACAGAGGGGGTCCTGGGTGGCCTTCCATTCAGAAGAGTCCCAGCTCTGAGAGCTGAACGAGGATGCTGACGACTGTCTCCCGTCTGACTGCAGTGCCTCAGGGGGTGTCGTTCTGCTCGGGTGGCATGTGAGCCCCGAGGGGAGGAGGCACAGGTCTTCCCTGTGGCCTTCGGGACACCAGACTCGAGTCCTGGCGTTGAGGGGTTTCCTTGTATCTCACTTCCGTCCCCTCAGCCTCCTAGGTGGTCTCTTGGCCCCTGCGCTCTCTCCATGGACCCCCCTTGGTGGCATCTCTGGGGAGACCCTCTTCAAGTTGGAGCATCTCTCCCTGCCTGAGAAGCCTCTTGTGGCTCCCAGTGCCCGAGGCAGAAACTCCCCCAGGTGTCCCAGGCCAGAGTGAGCGAGGTGTCTGGGTTCTTGCTGCCACCTCCCTGCATCTGTACCTTACACCTCGGGAAACATGCGTACCCCCTGCTGTCCCCTCTCCATGGAACATCCCTTGCCCCACCCTTCGGGGCCTTTTGCAGATGCCACCCCCCTGCAGGACAGCCTTTGTTCATTCTTCCCCTGGGTTTGATCTTTGCCCCTTTGAGCTCTCAGGGCCCTGGTCCCTCCCAGGACAGGCTGCATTCTGCTTTTTACTCTAGTTGTGTCTTATCCACCTTGAGCGATAGAAAGTTCCTTCAGGGCAGGGACTGTGGGGTCCTCCTCATTATCACCAGCACAGTAGCTCCAGTTTTTTGCACATCTGCTGAGTGCCAGGCACTGTGCTAGGAATTTACTACGGAATCTCTCTGGAACCGTCCTTACAGCAACTCCTAAAAGGTGGGTGGCGCTGTTTCCCTTAAGAGATGCCGGAACAGGCCCGGGAGGTTGTGCCATTTCCCAGGATTACAGAGTTGGCGGTTAGGGGGTGGGAGGGAGGCGGACGGGGGTCTGCCTGATTCCGAAGTGCTTTGCACTGTCTCCTCCCCATGCCTGCTGCCTGTTCCTGCCCTCAACAGGGTCCCTCACACACAGTGGGTGCTGAGCAGTGTTGGCTGTAACTAGACTGAGTTACAGAAAGCGCCCAAGGCAACCTGGGCTGGCTGTAGGGACTCACTGTGTAATCAGGGCTTTTGCCTCCTTTAAAAGCTGTAGTTCTTGGCTGGAGTCCCTCATTCACTGGACAAATAAATGCCAGTGAAGTTGGCAGGATAGGTGAGTGCCCTGTAATGGGGAGGGCAGGGCCCCAGCAGTCTGGCTTTTTCTGTTGCTGGGGAGGGGCTGAGGGGATCCCTGCCTGCTGGGTCTGACCTACCTACCCCGACGTCTGGAGGGGGAAGGGCTGCTGTTTGCCTCCTCATACCCAGCTCAGGTTACCGGAGAGGTTGGGGGCTCCTGGCCAGGGGATATTGGTCATTGCAGTGGAGATGGGTGATCCAGGGTGTCTGCTGTCCCCTCCCTGACAGCCTTGAGCTGACGGAGAATGTGGCCCAATGGTCAGGCCCTCTTTCAGAGGGCGGTGGCCAGGTGGCCAGGTGGCCAGGTGCCCTGAGGCGGCGCCATTCATCCATTCATTCCCCACAGTCATGGACGCCTACTCCAGATCAGTGCTGGGCCGTAGGGTCCCCAAGATGACCACAGCCCAGCTCCAGCCTTCCAGAAACCGCATGGTTAATGTTCACAGACCTGGGCTGTGTCCCTCACTGCCCTTGTTACCCTGGCCAAGTTCATGAGCCCCTGTTTTCCAGTCTGTGGACGTGAAAGTACTTCCCACCTTGTCTTTTTTGTTACTGTTAATCCTCACCTGGGGATATTTTTTCCATTGGATTTTAGAGAGAGTGGAAGGGAGGGAGAGGGAGAGGGGAAAAAAAGGAAGTGAGAGAGATACATTGATTGGTTGCCTCCCACACAGGCCCCGACTGGAGCCAGGGATAGGACCTGCAACCCACATACATGCCCTTGACCGGGGATCGAACCCATGACCCTTTGGTGCTTGGGTTGACGCTCTAATCACTGAGCCATGCCAGCCAGGGCCCCACTTTGTCTTCCTTTCAGGGCCAAGTGAGTATGAAAGGCTTCGGAGCCGATAAGCCTGAGAACCTGCCCAGCATAATGGTGTTGGAGGGTGGCCCTCACTCATCCTGGGGCCTGGCCCAGTGGTCCCTGGAGTGCTGTCCCTCTCAGGGCTGGGAGACATATTATGGCCCTGACCATCCAATGCTTCCTGGACAAGTAGCCAGGAAGGTTGTGGGTAGAGGGGAGGGCTGTGTGTGTGTGTGACCTTCAACTCTGTACATCAACTTAATTCTCAGTTTTGTGCTAAGCTGGCTGTTTTTCTGTTCCTCAAACATGTCCCACCCATGCCTGCCTCAGGGCCTTTGCACTTGCTTTTCTCTTTGCCCTGAATGTTCCTCCTGCAACTGTCTCCTGGTCGCATTCCCTCACTTCCTTCTGCTCAAATGAGTTCTTCTCAGAGGGGCGGTCTCTGACCATCCTGCCTATAAAAGCTCCCACCGCGTACTCCCTGACCTGCTTTGTTGTCCTAAATAACACTCAGGACCTATTATCTCTTTTTCCCTTTTATGGCGTCTTCCCAGTAGAATGCACGGGCAGGTGAGGGCAGGGACTGGCCCACTGCTATAGAGTCGTAGCCTAGGGGAGAGTTTCTCGTTCTCCGCACTCACAGCATTGGGGCTGTTGTTGTGTGGGGTGCCCTGCACGTTGTAGGGTATTTAGGAGCATTTTTGCCCTCTACCCACTAGATGCCAGTGGCACTGCCCCCCTTCCGTTTCAACAATTAAAAATGTCTCCAGACATTGCTAAATGTCCTCTGGGGGAGACGGCCCCTGGCTGAGAAGCACTGGCCTAGAACAGCACCGGGCACGTAGCAGGGATGCAGACAATGTTGAGTAAATGTCCACCAATATTCATCTGGCCTTGACAGCGACCCCGTGTTATGGATGAGACAGAAGAGTTTGAAAAGCCAGTGGTGACAGCAGGGCTGGGTTCCATCTGTCTCCCTCTCTTTGGACTATTTTTCTGGGCTCATCTCTGCTGTATTGAATCTGTAGAGGCCAGGGGTGCTCTCCCCAAAGTGCTCACCCCTCCCATCCTGACCCTGGCTCGTAATGGGGCCACCCACTGGCAGTGATTCAGGGCCCCAGGAGGCGCGTGCCTTGCCCGGAAGCTGGCAGGGAGGGAAGCCAGGGGCCTAGGATGGGGAGGGGGTACTTAGGATAGGGAGAGAGTTTCTGGGAAAACAAGAACAAAGGGAGGTGCTGTGCCTCCCAGTTCTGTTGGCCACGGGGAAGCAGTATTGATGACTTAGCGGAAGGGCCCGACCTCAGTATCAGACAGACCTCAGCACAAATCCTGGCTTTGCTGTTTGCAGGCTGGGTGAGCTTGGCAGGTCTTTCCATGTCTGGGAGGGTCTGTGTTCCCTTCAGTAGAATGGGCATGACCCCCACCTCACCTGCTGGTCGTCAGGATCGAAATGACTTTACTGGGTGTGCAGCCCACTGGCGGCTATTGGCATGTTGGTAGCTTTGCAGGTCTAACCTGCCCGTGCGTCCTGGGGCAGTGCTCAGGGCGAGGTGGCGACCGCTGTGGCATCCGGCTCTCTGTCTGAGCCCCACGGCCATGAAGTGTGGGTGGCAGACCCCCAGTTGCCCAGAGCTCCTGCCCAACATCCCTGAGAACAGCTTTCCCCCTGCCTGGCTATGCTTGCTGGCAGATGCCCCCTTGCCGGGCCTGCCCAGATGCCTGGCCTTTGGACCCGGGCATGTGGCAAAGGCTGTGGGGTCAGGAAGTCACTACCCCGCCCTTCCCCACGCCTTTCAGGGGTGACAGGTACTGTATGTCATTGA